TCTTAGGTGGAGGTGGGGTAGGCTTCCCTGAATAAGTGAGTTTTCAAAGATCGCCTAAAAGCAGACAGGGTGGGGGCTGACCGGACATACTGTGGTAGGGAGTTCCAGAGAATGGGAGAGGCTCTGGAGAAGTCCTGGAGACGAGAATGGGAGGAGGTGATGAGGGAGCTAGAGAGGAAGATATCTTGGGAGGATCGGATTGGGTGATTTGGGCGGTATCTGTGGATGAGGTCGGTGATGTAGCTGGGGGCAGTGTTGTGGATGGCTTTGTAAGCTGTGGTTAGTATTCTGAATTTTATACGTTGGTACAAAAAAAAAATGATAGAAATTAGCATTTTCCTGTACATTTTCCTAATGCATCGTTTACACAGTTTGTACATGTATAATATATGTAATGTGTGTGTATATAAATATACATATACTGTATGTGTGTGTGTGGGTAAATATATATGGGGGATGCACCAATACCGGTGTTTGTGCCGATGACAAGTATTTTCAGCAGTATGTATGAACGCAAATTGCACCACAAAGAATAGCATGCGATTTGAACAGGAATGCAATTCCTGAGAGGGGAGAAAGCCGCGGAGATTTCAAATCCCCAGATCTGTAAAGCTGCTTTCTCTCCTCTGCTTGCAAAAATGACAGTACGGGCTAGACAGCTTCTGATTGGTCAGCACCATGGCAGTGCTGACCAATCAAAAGCACTGTAGTCCATCCTGTCATCCCTGCTCTGAAAGGAGAGAAAGCTGCTGGGATTTAAAATCCCCAGCTTTTCCTTCTGTGACAGTATGGGATCAGTGTAGAGAGGTTTCTCCCACCACTCCTGTGTGAACTCAGGCTATGACTAGCCGGGGTTCACACAGGATCAGTGGGGAAAAAACCGCATGCGATTTGGACTGGAATTGCATTCCCGTTTTTAAATCGCATGCTATTCCTTGTAGTGCAATTTGCATTCATACATTTTGTATTTGTATTGACACAAACTGCACCTCCAACGTATCAGTACTCGGTACTGCCAAGTGCTTAACCGAAAGTATCAGTACACGCCGATCAAAAAATGAGTATCGGTGCATTCCTAATAAATATATGTATATATATATTTATATATATTTATATATTATATATATATATATATATATATATATACAGTTGTGTTCAAAATAATAGCAGTCAGACATCACTGACCGGATCAATCACTGTTTTTGGTGGAAATGATATTTCTACATGGCAAATAATTTCCTAGCAGGTGTAGTAGAGTAATAGAAATCCAACAGACCCAACAGTCATGACATGCATGCTGCTGATTCTGTGTCATTGAATCACTCATTGAAAGGGGCGTGTTCAAAATAATAGCAGTGTGGAGTTCTATTAGTGAGGTCATTCATTCTTTGAAAAACAGGTGGCAATTATTGCCCTTATTTAAGGAAGGAAGGCAGCAAATATTGTACATGCTGGTTACTGTGCATTTCTCTCTGAAATTCTGAGGAAAATGGGTCGTTCCAGACATTGTTCAGAAGAACAGCGTACCTTGATTAAAAAGTTGATTGGAGAGGGGAAAACATATAAAGAAGTGCAGAAAATGATCGCAAATGCTTTAAAATGGCAACCAAAACCTGAAAGACGTGGAAGAAAGCGAAAAACTACCATTCGAATGGATAGAAGAATAGCCAAAATGGCGCGGACTCAGCCAACAATCAGCTCCAGGAAGATGAAAGAAGGTGTGACGTTCCCTGTGAGGACTGTTACAATTAGAAGACGCCTATGTGAAGCCAAGCTATCTGCAAGAAGCCCCCGCAAAGACCCACTGTTGGAAAAAAGACGTGTGCTGAAGAGGTTACAATCTGCCAAAGAGCACATTGATCAGTCCACAAAATGTTGCGCCATTTCTCTTTAGGCCAGTCAAAGTAAGATTGTTCTTTTTGGGTCTAGTGGGCGGAGACAGTTTGTCAGATGACCCCCAAACACTGAATTCAAGCCACAGGACACTGTGAAGACCGTGAAGCATGGTGGTGCAAGCATCATGATATGGGGATGTTTCTCATACTACGGTGTTGGGCCTATTTATCGCATACCAGGGATCATGGATCAGTTTGAATACATCAGAATACTTGAAGAGGTCATGCTGCCTTATGCTGAAGAGGAAATGCCCTTGAAATGGGTGTTCCAACAAGACAACGACCCCAAACATACCAGTAAACGTGCAACATCTTGGTTCCAGACCAACAAGATGGACGTTATGGAGTGGCCAGCCCAATCCCCGGATCTTAATCCAATAGAAAACTTGTGGGGTGACATCAAAAATGCCGTTTCTGAGGCCAAACCAAGAAATAGAGAAGAACTGTGGAATGTGGTCCAATCATCCTGGGCTGGAATACCTGATCACAGGGGCCAGAAGTTGGGGGACTCCATGCAACACAGATGTACAGCAGTTCTCAGAAACAGTGCGACTACAACCAAATATTCATGAAGTCATTCAAAGGAAAGCAAAATCTTCAAACATTTCTCAGTTTATATAGTGAATGTTTGAGTTTGTAAAGAAGAATACAAACACTGCGATTTTTTTGAACCGTCTAATATTCACTTTTCTTCAATTTTTTTTAGAGGAACAACACAAATTTGATCTATTTTTCTTCATGTTTTGATTTGGAATAGAATGTGTCGTGTTCCCAATGCATTTGTGTGGATGGAAATAAAAGCTATTAGAAGGATTTTGAGCTTTATTCACTTTTTTCAACACACTATTATTTTGAACACAACTGTATATACATACGTTTTTAATTTTTTTTTTTTTTTTTTTAAATCAGAAATCATGCACCCGTAAATTTACTGCAACATATAATAAAGTCTGCTGAATAAAATAATACCACATTAGTGCAACTTTTATGTAACATGGCAGAATGGTAAAGCTCAGCGGAAACGTATGCATTTTGCTCTGCTCCCCTTTTGATGCTATATTGTAACATATGCAGGAAAAAGAACATTTGGCTCACATAAATTGTTAAAGATAAGATTAAGTCAGGTTGGTGAGGACACAAATTAGATAATGACTTTTTCACAGGTTTGTGATCATGAAAAAAACAATTTGAATGACATTGCATTCACAGACTTGAAATTTTCATCATTCTTTAGATAACTTGTCATTCTTGGAACCCCAATCATGTATTAGTGTTACTAAACCCCGGACCCTGCATTAACTATATCCACTCTCTCTGGACCCTGCATTCACTATATCCGGGCTCCCCGGACCCTGCATTCACTATATCTGGTCTCCCCCGAGCCCTGCATTCACTATATATGGTCCCCCCGGACCCTGCATTCACTATATCCGGGCTCCCCGGACCCTGCATTCACTATATCTGGGCTCCCCGGACCCTGCATTCACTATATCCGGGCTCCCCGGACCCTGCATTCACTATATCCGGGCTCCCCGGACCCTGCATTCACTATATCCGGGCTCCCCGGACCCTGCATTCACTATATCCGGGCTCCCCGGACCCTGCATTCACTATATCCGGGCTCCCCGGACCCTGCATTCACTATATCCGGGCTCCCCGGACCCTGCATTCACTATATCCGGGCTCCCCGGACCCTGCATTCACTATATCCGGGCTCCCCGGACCCTGCATTCACTATATCCGGGCTCCCCGGACCCTGCATTCACTATATCCGGGTTCCCCGGACCCTCCATTCACAATATCCGGGCTCCCTGGGCCCTGCATTCACTATATCTGGTCTCCCTGGGCCCTGCATTCACTATATCTGGTCTCCCCGGGCCCTGCATTCACTATATATGGTCCCCCCGGACCCTGCATTCACTATATATGGTCCCCCCGGACCGTGCATTCACTATATCCGGGCTCCCCGGACCCTCCATTCACAATATCCGGTCTCCCCGAGCCCTGCATTCACTATATCCGGGCTCCTTGGGCCCTGCATTCACTATATTCGGTCTCCCTGGGCCCTGCATTCACTATATTCGGTCTCCCTGGGCCCTGCATTCACTATATCCGGTCTCCCCGGGCCCTGCATTCACTATATCCGGTCTCCCTGGGCCTTGCATTTACTATATCCAGTTTCCCTGGACTCTACATTCACTATATCTGGTCTCCCCCGACCCTGCATTCACTATATCGCTCTCCCCAGACCCTGCATTCACTATATCCGCTCTCCCTGGACCCTGCATTCACTATATCTGGTCTCCCACAGTACACACAACATAGAAAAGCAAATTAGTTTTGTAAATATAAACTGCTAAATACCTCTTCTCATCAGCAGTTAGAGCAGTCTTGTGACTTCTATCAGTTTCCAGCTGAGCACCTGGTTAATCTTGTAGGAGGAGTTTTTATTCTGCTGTGACTCTCCTATGAGGCAGCATAACCCCTGACCCTCTGTCTGGATAGTGCTGATTGGCCCTGTGCTGATCACAGGCACCTTCCCAAAGAAAAAAAAACCTCTAGCCATACACACTAAACTGAGCATATGCAGAGTGCCTCCTAGGGCTGTGTACTATCAGCAGATGGATTGGGGACAGTAAAAAAAAAAAAGGGGAGGATCAGATAAAACCGTATCAAACAGCCTTTTTACACAATACGGAATATTAACCTCTTATACAGTGAGTATAACAAAGCATGCTTTACTTCATATACAGACTGATTTCACTATTGAGAGTAACACTTTAAATGTTTATTTTTAAAAAAATCTTCTTTAGGCTGTTATACACACTACAAGTATTTCGGCAAAGCTCAATGCATATTCTAATTGCTTCTGTTCAATACATACTGAGGTGTACAAGACCGTGACAGAGGGCATACTATACAGTGCTGATCTTAGGAAGTAGTTCCACATGCCGCTGAAATACTGATGATGTAAGGGTTGGGAGGTGAATAATGTGTGCAGCCTGGAACCATTTCCTGGAAGTGTAGATTTTGCAGCGGAATTGCTTCCTTAATACCTTTGCTTGAAGCAGAGCTCCACCCAAAAGGGGAAATTCCACTTTAAGTCCCCCCCAATTTGGCATGTCATTTTGAGGGAGCGGGTACCTAGTTTTAACAGGTATCCACTTCCACTCGGATCATCTAGACCAGTGTTTCTCAGTCAAGGCACCCTTTAAAACTATGGACAGTCTTGAGGCACCCTTTAAAATTATGGACAGTCCCGAGGCACCCTTTAAAATTATGGACCGTCCCGAGGCACCCTTTAAAATTATGGACAGTCTTGAGGCACCCTTTAAAATTATGGACAGTCTTGAGGCACCCTTTAAAATTATGGACAGTCTTGAGGCACCCTTTAAAATTATGGACAGTCTCGAGGCACCCTTTAAAATTATGGACAGTCTCGAGGCACCCTTTAAAATTATGGACAGTCTCGAGGCACCCTTTAAAATTATGGACAGTCTTGAGGCACCCTTTAAAATTATGGACAGTCTTGAGGCACCCTTTAAAATTATGGACAGTCTCGAGGCACCCTTTAAAATTATGGACAGTCTCGAGGCACCCTTTAAAATTATGGACAGTCTCGAGGCACCCTTTAAAATTATGGACAGTCTCGAGGCACCCTTTAAAATTATGGACAGTCTCGAGGCACCCTTTAAAATTATGGACAGTCTCGAGGCACCCTTTAAAATTATGGACAGTCTCGAGGCACCCTTTAAAATTATGGACAGTCTCGAGGCACCCTTTAAAATTATGGACAGTCTCGAGGCACCCTTTAAAATTATGGACAGTCTCGAGGCACCCTTTAAAATTATGGACAGTCTCGAGGCACCCTTTAAAATTATGGACAGTCTCGAGGCACCCTTTAAAATTATGGACAGTCTCGAGGCACCCTTTAAAATTATGGACAGTCTCGAGGCACCCTTTAAAATTATGGACAGTCTTGAGGCACCCTTTAAAATTATGGACAGTCTCGAGGCACCCTTTAAAATTATGGACAGTCTCGAGGCACCCTTTAAAATTATGGACAGTCTCGAGGCACCCTTTAAAATTATGGACAGTCTTGAGGCACCCTTTAAAATTATGGACAGTCCCGAGGCACCCTTTAAAATTATGGACCGTCCCGAGGCACCCTTTAAAATTATGGACAGTCTTGAGGCACCCTTTAAAATTATGGACAGTCTTGAGGCACCCTTTAAAATTATGGACAGTCTTGAGGCACCCTTTAAAATTATGGACAGTCTCGAGGCACCCTTTAAAATTATGGACAGTCTCGAGGCACCCTTTAAAATTATGGACAGTCTTGAGGCACCCTTTAAAATTATGGACAGTCTCGAGGCACCCTTTAAAATTATGGACAGTCTCGAGGCACCCTTTAAAATTATGGACAGTCTCGAGGCACCCTTTAAAATTATGGACAGTCTCGAGGCACCCTTTAAAATTATGGACAGTCTCGAGGCACCCTTTAAAATTATGGACAGTCTCGAGGCACCCTTTAAAATTATGGACAGTCTTGAGGCACCCCATTTTAGAATGTGAAAAACTATTCTAATAGTTTTATATAATGCAGCAACATCCACACATGTAGGACACCCAACATTAGAAGCAGGATAGACTTGTTTAAAGAGAGGTTTTCAGGGATCATCTAAAGGTGCATAGATTAGGAGACAGCCAGACAGATTGGGGTAGAGAGTTCCATAGGATGGGAGCAGCTCGGGAGAAGTCTTGGAGGTGAGCATGAGAGGAGGTGACATGGGAACTAGAGAGCAGGAGGTCTTGGGAGGATCGAAGAGAGCGGTTTGGTTGATATTTTGAGACCAGGTTGGTGATGTAGCTGGGGGCAGAGTTGTGGATGGTTTTGTAAGTTGCTGTTAGTATTTAGAATTTTATTCGTTGGGTGAGTGGAAGCCAGTGGAGGGATTGGCAGAGAGTAGTGGAGGACACTGAGTGGAGGTCAGTGGAGGGATTGGCAGAGAGGGGTGGAGGACACTGAGTGGAGGCCAGTGGAGGGATTGGCAGAGAGGGGTGGAGGACACTGAGTGGAAGCCAGTGGAGGGATTGGCAGAGAGGGATGGAGGACACTGAATGGAAGCCAGTGGAGGGATTGGCAGAGAGGGGTGGAGGACACTGAGTGGAGGCCAGTGGAGGGATTGGCAGAGAGGGGTGGAGGACACTGAGTGGAAGCCAGTGGAGGGATTGACAGAGAGGGATGGAGGACACTGAGTGGAAGCCAGTGGTGGGATTGGCAGAGAGGGGTGGAGGACACTGAGTGGAGGTCAGTGGAGGCATTGGCAGAGAGGGGCAGCAGACACTGAATGGTTGGTGAGGTGGATGAGCTTGGCAGCAGTATTCATGATGGACTGGAGGGGGGATAACCTAATGTAAAGGTAAGCCAATGAGGGAGTTGCCATAGTCGAGGCGAGAGGTGACCAGAGGGTGAATTAGGAGCTTTGTGGTATTGTTGGTTAAAAAGGGGCGTATTCTGGAGATGTTGTGGAGGTTGAGGCAGCATGATTTGGACAGGGATTGGATGTGGACCTGAATGATAGTTCAGAATCCAGTGTTACCCCTAGCACCCTGGCATGCACTGATGGTTTTATAGTGGTGCTATTAATCCTGACCGAGAAATCAGGGGAAGAGGCACGTGGGGGAGGAAATATGAGCTCAGTTTTGGTTAGATTGAGTTTTAGGAAGTGGTGTGACATCCAGACTGATATCTGTTAGAAAATTGGTGATAAGTGAGGAAACTGATGGGGTGAACTGAGGAGTAGAGAGAGAGATTTGTGTGTCATCAGCATAGAAATGGTATTGGAAGTATGGGAAGCTATCAGCTGACCCAAGGAAGAAGTGTAGATCGAGAATAGGAGAGGTCCAAGGACAGAACCTTGGGGGACTACACATACTAGGGCCAATTTAGACAGGAGCCAATTCACCTACCAGCAGCGTGGAGTGTAGCAGGAAACCGGAGTACCTGGAGGAAACCCACACAGGCACAGGGAGAACATGAAAACTCCAGGCAGGTGGTGTAATGGTTGGGATTTGAACTGACGACCCCAGTACTACCAGGCAGAAGTGCTAACCATTTAGCCACTGTGCTGCCCATATAATATATGTTTACTATAAACCAAACACTAAAATGAATGCAGCAGTCCCAAAAATGTGCAAAATATGAAAAGATATGTTTAGACCGCGCATCTACATTATACATAACATATGTGCATATCCTCTGTGTATTCACAAAAATTCAACACATATTCTCTCATCTGTAAATCAAACCTCACACCATCACAGTATTCACAACATGATTGCCATTAATTATAGTCCCCAATTGTGAAATAAATGCTCGTGTTCCAGCTTGATTATGGTGCTTCACTTGTTAAGCTGATTTATAGTGCTCCATACATCAGTGATCAGCGTGCCCCACATGGACTAAAACCCACCTCAGCAGATGACCGTCTATTTCTAGAGTGGTCTACAGCCCTTGTGGGGCATTTCCCGATGAAGTTGATTAATGTCTCCAGGTCCCGAGTCTCGGAGTAGATGTATCACAAAGAACAGGAAGGGGATTCCCGTAGTGTAAAGCCGTAATATATTTTATTATGATTAAGATGAGCATAAAAAACATTCACAAAAATATTGCCTCTGCCCAGCACCTAGTGTGTACTCGGCCGTATTTGTGTGTATGGACGCCGCTAAGCGCTCCTCGGAGCGTTCCATACGCCGAAGTGACGCCAGCGGAAGTTGCGTCGTCAAACCTCGATGTGTTTCGAACAAAGATCATCTTCAGGACGTGCTATTGAATTGATATGCACATATGTTATGTATAATGTAGATGCGTGGTCTAAATATATAATTTTTTTTTCTTTATTTTATTTCAGGTACTTATATAGCGCCATCAATTTACGCAGCGCTTTACATATATATTGTACATTCACATCAGTCCCTAACCCTCAAGGGGCGTACAATCTAAGGTCCCTAACTCACATTCATACATACACATACTAGGGACAATTTAGACCGGAGCTAATTCACCTACCAGCATGTGCAGTGTGGTAGGAAACCGGAGTACTTGGAGGAAACCCACGCAGTCACAGGGAGAACATACAAACTCCAGGCATGTGGTGCCATGGTTGGGATTCAAACTAACAACCCGAGTACTGCCAGGCCAAAGTGCTAACCATTAAGCCACTGTGCTGTCCATATATATATATTTATATTAAAGCATTGTAGTTGGCAGTGTTTTTACTACCCCTACACATCTATTACCTGTGCATAGCAGGTGGTGACAGGGTCTCTTAAACACATTAACCCCTTGACGCCGACGTAACACAAATATGCGGCCTCACGGACCTGGGCTTTTTTCCGTGGGGCCGCATATTTGCGTACCTGTCTTTGTGTTGGGAGCGCGGTGTCACTGAGAGCACCGGGTCCTGTTCTAACGATCGGAACCCGGGACTCCCGGTCCCGGGTCACATGATCGCTGTGATAGCCTCTGATTGGCTATCACAGTGATCAGTCACTGTGCAGCCCGGCCCCCTTGTTTTTTTTTTCTCTCTCTCTCTATGAATGGAGAAGAGAGATACATTGTATCTCTCGAACTCCTGTCAGAGAGAAAAAAAAAAAGATAAATAAATAAATATTTAAAAAATAAAAAAAAATACCTAGATCAAGGTTTGATCTAGTTCAGTGCCAGGGTTAGTGTTTAGGTCAGGGTCAAGGTCAAAGGTCAGGGTCAAAAGTCAAGGTCAGGATTTAAAAAAAAAATTGGTATCAGTGTCAGTTAGTGTTAGCGTGTTTTAGGTAAAAAAAAAAAAAAAAAAAGACAAAAACAAAATGCGCACTATGGTTTCTGGGCTGTACTACGGGTACAAACAACAAATAACATACACATATATGGTATCGCTGCGATTTTCAAGAGCTGGAGAATTTATTTTGGGTTGCTCTTTGGTGGTAGGTTATGGTCATAACAAGAAACACATAGCTAAATAAAAAAAAAAAGGATTTTTTTTACTATTTTGGCCCAGTTTTCCTTTGATAATAAAAAAAAAATCAGGAGATATCCATTACCATTTACCACCAAATGAAAGCCCAATTTGTCCTGAAAAAAATCAAGGTATAATCCACCTGGATGTGCAAAGTAGTTGTGATGATATGTACGGTTTTGCTATCACATGTCAACGGTGCAGAATTGTGCTTAGGCCTTTAGATTTGTTTTACCCTTAGGCGTGAAGGGGTTAAGGCAGAATGTACACTTTTATTAGAGGTACTTATATAGCGCCGTCAATTTACACAGCACTTTACATATATATTGTACATTCACATCAGTCCCTAACCCTCAAGGTGCGTACAATCTAAGGTCCCTAACTCACATTCATACATACACATACTAGGGACAATTTAGACAGGAGCCAATTCACCTCCCGGCATGTCTTTGGAGTGTGCAAGGAAACCGGATTACCCGGAGGAAACCCACGCAGTCACAGGGAGAACATGCAAACTCCAGGCAGGTGGTGCCGGGGTTGGGATTTGAACCTGCGACCCCAGTACTGCCAGGCAGAAGTGCTAACCATTAAGCCACTGTGCTGTCCATATACAGTGGGGATCGAAAGTTTGGGCACCCCAGCTAAAAATGTGTATTAATGTGCATAAAGAAGCCAAGGAAAGATGGAAAAATCTCCAAAAGGCATCAAATTACAGATTAGACATTCTTATAATATGTCAACAAAAGTTAGATTTTATTTCCATCATTTACACTTTCAAAATAACAGAAAACAAAAAAATGGCGTCTGCAAAAGTTTGGGCACCCTGCAGAGTTAATATCTTGTACTGCCCCCTTTGGCAAGTATCACAGCTTGTAAACGCTTTTTGTAGCCAGCCAAGAGTCTTTCAATTCTTGTTTGAGGTATCTTTGCCCATTCTTCCTTACAAAGTCTTCCAGTTCTTTGAGATTTCTGGGCTGTCTGTCACGCACTGCTCTTTTAAGGTCTATCCATAGATTTTCAATTATGTTGAGGTCAGGAGATTGTGAAGGCCATGGCAAAACCTTCAGTTTACGCCTCTTGATGTAATCCCCCGTGGATTTCAAGGTGTGTTTAGGATCATTATCCATTTGTAGAAGCCATCCTCTCTTTAACTTCAGCATTTTCACAGATGGCATCAAGTTACCATCCAAAATTTGCTGAAATTTTATTGAATCCATTTTTCCTTCTACTCGTGAGATGTTCCCTGTGCCACTGGCTGCAACACAACCCCAAAGCATGATTGATCCAACCCCATGCTTAACAGTTGGACAGAGGTTCTTTTCATTAAATTCTGTGCCCCTTCTTCTCCAAACGTACCTTTGCTCATTCCGGCCAAAAAGTTCAATTTTAACCTCATCGGTCCACAGAACTTGTTTCCAAAATGCATCAGGCTTGTCTATATGTTCATTTGCAAAGTTCAAACGATGATTTTTGTGGTGAGGACGTAGAAGAGGTTTTCTTCTGATGACTCTTCCATGAAGACCATATTTGCACAAGTATCTCTTTATAGTGGAATAGTGTACCACAACTCCAGTGTCTGCCAGATCTTTCTGGAGGGATCGTGCAGTCAAACGTGGGTTTTGAATTGTTTTTCTCAC